TTTTTGATCAATGCTCTTTAGCACCTAGCCTCATACCTGTATTAACTATTTAGTCTGTTTACATAGATTCCACCTCATATGAGCACGATGGTTAGCTGCCTATGACAGCATCAGACCACAGCAGTGGAACAGCGGGGACTGCGACACCAGTATGGGACAGGCGGAACCCAATGCAGCCATCTCCACATTTGCATCATCATCAGTGCCATTTGGATGCATCATCGTCTGGAACAGCAGACACAACACCATCATCATCTTTCTCTAATTGATTAGTGGTTTCGTTCCTCCCAAAACCAACTGCAGACTGGGATGTGATGACGTTGTGGATGACAGTATTAAAACGTCTCTCATTTCCCCGTTTATTTTTGTGCCGTTGCAAAATACGCCGTTTACCGCAATATTTTTTAATTGCTTTACATGACGGTTTCCAATAGTCACCATGGCAACACAGAAGAACCAGCCAAAGGAAATTGAGGAGCGTTTTTCTAAACGTGGGGTTAGCTGAGAAGCATGGACGCGGTTTGGTTATGAAATTAGTGCTGACGCTATCGATTAATCTATCAATTATTCCATCGATTAATCGGATAAGAAATACTTTTGTCTTATTAATGAGCAATGATAAATATTCAGAATAGAAAAAAAAATACGCCCCCTTCAAAATTACCTGTAAAATAAATATGAAATCTAAACTGAGGCATTAAAAAAAAGCATGTTTACTCTGTCTTCTTGGAAAGCTTTGAGTCATTGTGCGTGTTTGTGCGTGTTTGTGCGTGTTTGGCTGTGTGTTTAAGTGTGCAGGTGAATGAGGGAGTTTCTGCCTGTAAGCCTATAAAGGAGCATGTGAGCATAGCAGCATACTGAAGTTTTCCCTGTGCTTTGATGCAAAGTTTGTGCTGCTGAAAACATCATGATGGAGCAGACGTTCATTAATATCAACAATAATTCACCGCCTTACCTAAAATCCCTCTCGTCAGTTTCATTTTTAGATTTTTAACGCAATTTAATTAACAATGTTTGATATTATTTCCCTTTCAGTTTGAAAAATATTATGAAAACTTCAAAATAAATATGGTCTAGTGCATGCCATGCCCCCCTTTAGACTCGCCCCTGGTAAGTTAACAGTTAATCTGCATATTTTAACACAACTTCTGGAGACTTCCTGCAGATTTTTATCTATGTAAAGCAAACAGTGGTGGATGGAGCAGGTACAAAGTTCGCTTTCCTTCATGTCAAAGTTTGTTGGTGCTTTGATGAAGGACCGCGGTTGCGGTTTCCCAGTAAAGCTTTAAATGTTGATTACAGAAACAGTGCTGCTGATTTGGACACTAGAAACATGTTTTCTTTCACTTTACCCGAGGTCACGGTCCTGGTAATGGCTCTGCCGGGCTTAATGTCGTCAAACCTTTTATTCACGCGCTGCTCTTAAACACGTTTGTCTTGCAGATCTGTTTTAAGTTGCAAATGAGTTTAAGAACGTGAAGTAAAAGAAAGCTTAAAATAAACCACAGAGTCAAACGTTAGAACAGAGTTTTCCCCACAGCACGCGTACAGACTCAGAGACAATTTTGTGCAATGGTCAAAACCCCAACTCCAGGTATACGATGCCCACCCAGCCAGTCTCACTTATGTTACGAGCGTCGGGCCAAAGTCAGACTACGCTGCAACAGCAGATATGCGAACGACCCGAGCAAACGCATCCCTGTATGAGCTTAACGGTGCCGTTCACCCGAGACACTGCAGTCAAACTATTTTCCGGTCCACTGCTCTCCAGGGCTGAAGTCAGTTTCATAGTGGCATAACTGTCCGATAAAAATCCTCATTCAAACAAGGAGAGGTTGTAGCTTTTCTTTGATTTCCCTCTACGT